GAGGCCTACTCAGTCAGAATCAGCATTTCAACAAGATCCGAGTATTTCATATGCACATTAAAGTCCGAGAGGCATTAATATAAAGCACTTTGTCTTTTTTTTAAATCCTCACCTGAGGATTTTTTTTCCCATTGCTTTTCAGAGAGAGTGGAAAGGCGAGAGAGAAAGAGAGAGAAACATCAATGTGAGAGAGACACATCGATTGGTTGCCTCCCGCAGGAGTCTCGACCAGGGCCAGGGATCGAGCCTGCAACTGAGGTATGTGCCCTTGGCCGGAATCAAACCTGGGACCCTTCAGCCTGCGTGCCGACGCTCTGGCCACTGAACCAAATGGGCCAGGGCTAAAGCACTTCGCCGTTCACTGGAACTACGATTGCAAGAACTCCTGTACATTCTCTATTCCCAGAAATCATCCATGCGGCAGGAGAAATTGGGGCCCAGGAGATCAACAGTGATATGGACTGAGCATCGACTCCTGGGGACCTTATGTATGTTTTGTCATTTTACGCTCATTTGGAAGCCTTTGAATTAGTTACTTTCATTCAGCAGATAAGGAAATTGAAGGTCAAGATCACAAGGACAGTGGCAGAACCTGAATTTGAACCCATATCTGACTGACTCCAAAGCCTGTAACCTGCTTTTCATTACAGCCCACTGTCCAAGTCTGGTCTGTGGCTCAGCAGGAATCAGGTGCTGTTACGGTTCTGCCACTAACGAATTCAGTGATCTTGGTTAATTCATGCTACCATTTTAGAACTCAGTTCCTCATGTAAAAGCCGATGGAGGCTGAACTAGTGAAAGCTCACAAATGAAACAAATGAATCAAGTGGATATTTGAGGCATCACTGAGTCTGAGTGTTGGGAGCCTCTGTTGGGTGATGGTAAATAACTCAGAAAACCAGAACCCACGTAGCACAGGGTAGAGAAAAGATTACATAGCACAGGATAGAGAAAAGAGTACGGGACCAGAAATGAGAAGACCGGGGTTCCAGTCCTACCTGTCATTTATTAGTTGTAAGCATCCGTTTCTTCACCTATGACATGGAGATAAATGATCTATACCAGCTCTCTCTCAGTGTATTTGACTGGTTCGAGTGAGATTATGCATGAAAATATTCTGTGAAGTGATATATTAATACAGCCAGTCCTCTAATTGCCTTAATTTTCATAACACATATTAGATATTTATAAATAAATTAATTAAGGGACAGGATTTACAATCTGCAGGCCACGTAGCAACTGGGAACAAGCTCTGGCAAAGCCCATCAACTCTGTGCTTTTGTTTATCCTAACAGTAGAGATAAAAGGTGATAAAAGTGCGCACAAGCTCTGAACCTGCGAGAGAGCTGGTGGCGTCGGGAAAACAAAGCCCATTATTCTAGAGCAGGGCATCCTTGCAGTAGAATTTTCTGTGATGGTGAAGTTTCATCTCTGTATTATCCAGCATGGTAGCCACTGGCTACTTGAAATGTTGCTAGTGCAACTGAATTTTAAATTGTATTCAATTTTAATGAATTCAAATTTAATTAGCCATATGTGGACAGTGGCTACCATACAGAACAGAGCAGCTCTACAGAAAAGTGAGATGTGGATTTGTTCACTAACGTGAAGGCTTTATAGCTATCTTCTTAAGGTCAACAAGTAAACTGACTTGCCTTTTTCAGTTCTGAAACTCTTGCCCTAAATGACTCCCTCCCCCAGATAAAATAAAATCAAATAATAAAATAAAATATTTTTATTGATTTTTAGAGAGAGAGAGAAAAAAAGAGAGGGAGAGAGAAAGAGAAACATCGATGTAAGAGCGGAACATCGATCAGCTACCTCCTGCACACCCCTCACTGGGGACCGAGCCCACAACCCTGGCATGTGCCCTGACGGGGAATCAAACCGGCATCCTTTTGGTGCACAGGATGACGCCCAACCAACTGAGCCACACCAGCCAGGGCTAAATAAAAAATTTTTATAGCATGATTTTTTAACAATGGGAGGTTTCTCTGGAATCCAATGATCATCTGTATAGCCACGCAGATGATACCAATAAAATGTGACAGTTACCTAAGCAAAAAAATGTTTTGTTTTGTAAGTATATGTCTCATCACCTGAAAAGATATAAAACTGTACTCCCTTGTCTTTAAAATTAAAGAAGAGAGACTGAAAAGTACTAGGCCCTGGGAGCGGTCGCTCAACAGACCGCCGGTCCCCGCAGCCTCCTACCTGGCATTTTCCGCTCTCCGGCTTATGCACTGGTGCAGGTAGAGATACTCCTGAGGTGCACTGGTGGACAGGGCAGGCTGCAGGGGGCTGGACACGGGGGCTTCGAACGTGAACAGGGTCGGCTGGCTGGAGTGCGACGGGGCTGAGGATTTTCGTTCTCGGAGGAGGTGCTGATTGGAGCTGCTGAGCTCGGCTGGAGAGGAGCGGGGACCGTGACTGGCGGAGGAAATGTTCCTCAGGGAGTCTGTGAGAAGGAAAGGACTGTGTGAACGAAAAAGGAAAGAAAGGTGTGCTTCTTCCAAAGCAGGCTGTCGCTCGAGGAAGGATCCGGCGGCAGCTCTCTCTCCCTCCCAGAGAGGAGGGCTGAGAGCTGGCCCCCTGGCCGAGGAGGAGATGCTCTGTCCCTCGCCACTGCTCCTGGCGTCGCCCGGGGGCCACTCTCCGCCACAGCTGGGGCACATCTGCCCCGCTTCTGGGAGGCACGGCTCCGAGGCCCAGGGGTACGAACGGAGCAAGGCTAACCTCTGGGGCAGGGAGTCCTACTGCCTTCCTTCCCTTTGCTGGCTTCTGCCGTCATCACCCCCCTCAGAGCTAAGGCTGCTCTGTTAAATGAAGCTTTGCTCCTTGAAGACGCAGCCGCTGAGGCCCGGGGCTGCGCCTTGCTGGGTTAATGATAGAAGCACACACGCATTTGGAGCTGTCCCTTCAGACTGGTCCGGGTCGTCTCAGAACGGCATTGTCTCCCATCCCCAACTCCTGCACCTACCACTCTGTCTGTGGGTCTTTTTTCTCTAAGTTCTTATCTTAAGCTCTAGTCTGTCTGTTTGGTTAGAAAGGAAGCGAGGTATTAAGGACAGATAATAGCTTAGAGTGCTACGCCCCAAGCCAAGGGCATTCTTTACTTGGCTGGCTCTCTAAGCTTGGTTCAGATTCTTAGCATAACATACAGGGCCTTTCCCAGTCTGACCTGTTTCCTGCTTTTCCCCTCCCAATACGCAAGGCAGCCCCTGAGCACGCAGCCCCTTCCCCGCGTCTCTGCTTTGGCCCGAGCTGTTCCTTCCACCGGGACTGCAGGTCGCTCTCCGGGCCCTTGCACACAGACTCGGGGACCCCACACGGGGATCGCACTCTCTCGGAAACCCCCCTGGACTTGGCCGCTGCTCTGGGTGCCCGGGGAGCTTGGCCACGCGTCGCTACGTCCGCTGTCACTCCGCTTCCCTGCCTCGCCCACGGGTTTCTAAGAACAGTGACTGATGTCGTTACAGTCTCCGCATTTACCCAGTAAAGGCCGGGCACACAGAAAGTTCTCGGTCTGTGTTTGCAGAAGGGGCAAACGTATTCATTCAGCACGTCGTAATTCCAACAGGGAAGCTCCTTGTGCCAAAGAAATAAAGGTTTCAAGGCGTAATTTCTGGTGATGTGACAGCCAGCATTATTAGGGGGTAGTATTTTAGTGGTGGCGATGGTGGCTTTTTAGGGTCATTCGAATCATTTCAGAGGGGACACAGTTCTGTTACCACTCTGTTACCTGACCTTCCTCAGTCTGCGCCCTTCGCGCGGCCCGAGGCTGGGTCACCAGCTCATTAAAGCTCCGCAGCCCTAATTACTCTCCAGTCATTCCTGACGCTGGGCAGGACAGCTTCGGCCCGAGTACAGCAGAAAAACCCACGGGCCTCGGGGGACAAGCTGTTCCAGTGACAGCTGAATTGACCTCCGAAACGAATTCCCATTACGGGTCTCGGAGTGAACTGCACACGTGCTAACAGAATCAATGGCTTCATTACTCCATTCGATTTGCAAGATGAACTCTCTCATGGCAGAGGAGAGGGGGCCCGTGCCAGGGGACGGAGGAGCCACGGCGCCAGGGATGAATGCAAGCTGATGCGGGTGGAGACACAGGGAAGGTGCAGAGGGAGAAGCTCCGGGGCAGTTCTGCAGTCGCCGTGGTCTTTCTGGTCTCTTCCCCCTCTGCCCAGCTCCTCAGTGAGCCTCTTCCTTCTTTGGGGTTCTGCCCCAGACGCTGCTACAGCTTCACTCGCATTCGGGGGAAGCCCCTGGGGCGTCCTGTCCACTCTCACAGATTCAGCTACCACCTGATGTGACGACAGCCCTCAAGTCCCCGACTCTAGCGCAGCTCCCTCTCCTGGGCTCCCTGTCGCGTGTCCCTCCCTCCGCTGGGCGCCTCCATTCAGACGCCCCACACGCAGGTCAAGCTCAACATCTAACCTGAACTCCCCAACCCCGCCCTGTGTTCTCCATGTCAGGGAGGTGCCTCAGCATCGCCACCCAATCAGTTCTCCAAGCCAGAGACCCAGGCGTTACCTGTGACTCCTCCCAGCTCCTCGGGAGCCACGATGCCATCATGTCTCTGCCCTGCTTAGAACCTTTCAGTGGATCCCTGTTATCCTCCAGGTGACTTACAAAGCTTTCTTCTCTCTCAAACCACTTTCCTGTTTATTTCTTCAGCCTCGCTTCTCACCAGTATTTTCTTGTATTTCAAAGACAGTTTCAGGGAAACAGCAATCCTCTCTCATCACTCCGCCGATCAGGCTATGAACTCAGGAAGGGCAGAGGGCCTGTCCCGTTACCACACTTCATGCATCAGCCCGTGTGTGACCCTACTCCGTAAATACGTGTTGAAGAAATAAACAAGGCACAGAGCATAGGAAGTCATCCTCCCTCAGTCGCATTGATTCCTCACTGTCAGGTTCCCCCGCAGGACAAGAAAGGCCATTTTTGTCACAACCTACTTACCCTGCCTCGCCACCCAACGCATCCTCACGCTCCCTATGTGGAAGGCCTGGGCTGTGGGGCTGTGTGGAGGAGGAGTGACTTGTCCTCCCCTCCAGGGCCCTCCGCCTCCCGCTCAGGCTACGGGATCAGGTCTGTGACCCAGTCCGTTTGCCTGCAGACCTGGAGAAGTCCCTTCAGCTCTCTGGGTCTTATTCACAGATTGACACAGGGTGGTTATAAGATGAAATGCACCAAGGGTCTAGAAGACTCTGCACGCTGTAAGTACTCAAAACATGTTCTAGTCACTTCTGTATCCCTTGGTGCCTAGGACAGTCCCAGCACACAGTGGATCTTCAAAACATATCTGTTGAATAAATAAAAGAATTTTCCCTGGCACAAAAATCCAAATATGTCTGTTTCTTGTGGTCAAAATCAGAGATGTTTCTAAAGGTCTGTTAATAAGATGAAGTAGGGGTTAGGATGCGCGGGGCCCACAGACACCTGGAATTCCATCCTACCAGCGTGAAGCCTTATCTATAAAACCAGTTGGCTCTGTAATGGTTTGAAGCCCCAGAAAAGCTCTTCCAAAGCTGTTTTTGGCACAACGCTTTGCCAAAATTCCACTTCTGCTTGAAACTTTAAACGATGTCTACCTGAATTCATGTGACTATTCCTTGGGGCCTGTACTGGGTTGAACAGCGTGTCCGGCCCCCCCCCCTCCCCAAACTCCAGACTACCTGGAATGTCAGAATGTGACCTTTTTTGAAAACAGTGTCTTCAGGATGTGATTGGTTAAGGCGAGGTCATACTGGACTCGGGTGGGCCCTAAGCCAATAACTGGTGTCCTTGTCAAGGAGAGAAAACAGACACAGTGACACACAGAGAACACCACGTAATGACAGAGGTAGAGACTGGATAAACAAAATACAATATATCCATGTAATGGAATATAACTCAGTCACAGAAATGAATGGGCTACCGGTGCCTGCTGCAACACGGACGGATCTTCCAAACGAGATGCTAAGTGAAAGAAACCAGCGATAAGACTGCAGACTGTACGGTCTCGTTTACGTGAGACGTCTAGAAGGGGCAAATCCATGAAGATGGGAAGTAGGCCAGTGGTTGCCTGGGGGGTGGGAGTGGACAGTGACTGCTAATGAGGACATGTTTCTTTCTGGGGTGATGGTTGCACAACCCTGTGTGACAGACTGAACCTCTGAACTGTATACTTTAAACGGGTGAATTTCATCCGGGAAATAGATCTCAGTAAATTTACAAACACACACAGTTTGACAGCTCCTCAAAAAGTTTAAACGTAGAGTTACCATATGACCCAGCAATTCCACTCACAGGTATACACCCAGGGGAATGAACACAGATGTCAACACAAAACTTATACACAAATGTTCACAGTAGCGTTACTCATAAAAATAGCTAGAAGTGGAAACACACCAAATGCCTATAAACTGATCAATAAACAAACAAAATGTTGGCATAGATGTACAATGAAATATTACCCAGCAGTAAAAAGAACAGAGTGTGGATACATGTTATAACATGTAGGAACCAGGCAAACATTATGCTAAGTAAAAAGAAGCTAGATTTCATTTATACGCAACATCCGGAATCGGTAAATATAGGGTCAGAAAATCAGATGAGTGGTTGCCTAGGGCTGGGCTGAGGATGGGGAATGGGAAGCTAATGAGTGTGAGATTTCTTTTTGGGGTGATCAAAATGTTCCAAAATTAGATTGTGGTGGTGGCTGCACAACCCTGTGAATATACTGAAAAATACTGACTTGGGTACTTTAGGTGGGAGACACATGGTACGTGAATTTAGGAAACACACACACACACACACACACACGAGCCCTTTACGAAGATGAAGTGTTAAGTATACGCAAGAGGTTAGCAATTGTCTAAAGACATCCGACCTTTCATTTTTATTTGCTTTTTGAAGAGAAAACGGAACACTCAGTAAATACCAAGTCCTTACTAAAGTATATCGAGTAAGAGACATTCTCTCTTACTTACCTTCAGTTCCCCACACCTTCTCCAGCCCCACTGTTCAGGGCTCCACCCCACAATCACAGCAGGGCAAGGCAATGGGAATTTCAGCAAAACACAACAGCAAGAATGCACGGTTTGGGGCAAAAAGACCCAAGCGGTTCGAAATTCCACCTCTCAGCGACTGGACGTCGTGCACGTGACAGGAGTCAGGAGGCCAGGGACGGGGCTCCAGCTCTGCCAGGCGAGACGCCCAGCTCTGGTTCCACACCATCCAGCCGGGGGAATAAGCCCCGGCCTGCCTGCCTAGCTCGCGACGCTGTTGTAAAAGATCGACGAGATAGGGGTGTGCAAACAAACCTGTCCACTTACAGAAACCTCTCCGAGGATTTGTTTTTATCGTGCGGGTACCTCCTGAAGGAAGGAAAGAATGGTCAAGATAGAGGAAAACATTAAATGGTGTGTGGCTGGGCTGGTCTTGGTAACGTGGCTGCAATGAAGGCTC